TGCTAGGTACAGACGTTCACTATGAGTCCCATAGGTGGACCTATTTTGCGTTCCTATCGTTGTGTACACAACTGTTGTTACTGTTGTTTGTTGTTAGGTTGTTCGCTGTGCACACTGTTGTCATTACTACGTGATCTGAGTCGCTAGGCAAAGAAGCTGCTTGGCATTTTCTCTGTTTCTTTTGTCGTTTTTTTTTTTTTTTTTTCCGGTCCTTCCCTTTATCCCTTTGTGTGGAAGGGATGAAGTTGGGATGGACTTTTCAGATGTCAAATTTTGTGGGGGCACTCGCGCAGGTGGCCAGCAGGTACCGTTCACTGCCAATCAGCGTAGGAACGACCCCGAGAAAAGGGGGTCTCCCAGGATCCAAGGTCCGATGGCGTTTTATTGCGATCGGAAAGGGATGATGTGGCATACTCCGTACCACATGGGCCCAGTAGAGCCCGACCTGGTAGACTAAGGGTCCGTAGGGGTAGAGCCTGTTTCGTTTCAGCCTAAAAGCCTGAAACGAGGGCCTACATGCCCTGTGTCGTTTTGGCCTCTAGCCTGAAAATGACGGGCCATTTTTCAGGCCCTCACAAGATTGACCTACCCTGAAACTCAGGCTCCAGACCGGGGTTTTAGCTCAGGCCATCATGGCCTATTTTGCGGAGTGTCAACCCCAAGGTCTGGCACGTTTTGGCATAGGCACGAGCAGCCTTCCGGATGGGCCAGCACTATATAAAGCTGACCCGCCCTGTAGGCTGCAAGCAGTTCCCGGACACTTCACGTGCAGAGGGCAGGAGGTAGTCTTTAGGACTCGGCAGCGACACTCTGGAGTAGTAGTAGCGATGGGAGTAGTCTTCAGCGCTGGGCGTTAGTAGAGAGAGAGGGAGATTTGGCGGAGGCCAGGGAGACTCACCTGCGGCGCCATAGCTCCAGCTTCGTCTTCGACGCACCTGCAGCAAGGCGCCACCTTTACAGGTTAGTATCGACCACAGAGAGAGAGAGAGAGAGAGAGAGAGAGAGAGAGAGAGAGAGAGAGAGAGAGAGAGAGAGAGAGAGAGAGAGAGAGAGAGAGAGAG